AACCAGGATATCATCAAAATATGGGATGCAGAAATCGAGGCCAGACAGTACTTGGTGTATGAAACGCTGAAATGTTTGGCCAGCATTGCGAAGGCCAAATGGCATATATAAGTACTCAAAGAGACCAAATGGTGTAGTCACTGCGGTCTTGGGCACATCTTCAGCATGCACTGGGATCTGATGATATGCTCTGGCAAGATCGAGGGTAGAAAATATGTTTGTTCCATGAAAAAGATGGGTACAGTCTTGGATATGTGGGACTGGATATCTGTCAGGGACTGTGACGGCATTAAGTCGACGATAATCTCCACAAGGCCGCCAGTCACCATTAGACTTTTTAACCATGTGAAGTGGACTGGCCCATGGACTTTTAGATGGGCGAATGGTTCCCTGTGCTAGCATGAATTCAAATTCTTTGCGAGCAGCTTTTAGCATCTCTGGAGAAAGACGACGAGGCTTGGAAAATACAGGTGGGCCATGTGTTTCAATGTGATGATACACTTCTGGCTGATGAGTATGCTGCCCTGATTTGGATGGGTTTAAAATGTCAGGGAATTCTGCTAATAACCGATGAAACCGTGTGCTGCCCGATAAAACACTTATGTTGGTAGGTACGTTTGATATGTGAGAAGCTTGGCCCTGTGATGTCAGCTGAGTTGTAGCATCAATTAAGCAATTATTCTTGACATCCACTAGAAGGTGGAAATGTGTCAAGAAGTCGACACCAATAATTGCTTGAGTTACATCCGCAATAATAAAAGGCCAGTTGAAAGTCCGGCGCAAGTTTAAATCAAGTGTCAATAGTTTGGTGCCGTAGGTTGCAATTTGGGTACCATTGGCTGCATACAGTACAAGTTTATTAAGTTGGTGAGCATTTGTTTTAGTTCTCGGGAGCACTGATATGTCAGCTCCAGTATCTACTAGAAAACATAACTGAGTTGAACGATCAGCCAGTACTGTACTATTCTGTCGATGTGGCGGACATTCTGTTGGCCAGCAGAAGACCGCCCATTTAGTTTCCCGCTTGTTCAAAAGTGCATGGAGGGGCACACTTGCGAGCTTGAGAGCCAAAATTCATATGATAAAAACATATGCCACTTGTGGGTTCTTTGTACTGCGTTCGAGTATTGTGACGAGATCGACTCCTGCTTCGGGCACGAAATTTATTACGTGGGCCCTGATTTGATCGATTGTATCTCCGTGAAGCATGAAGACTTGTAGAGAGTTCAGATACTTTTTTGGTCAATTCAGCCACTTGTTGTTCGAGGGATGAACTGGAAGGTGCAGCATTAGCAGCACTGACATAAGCTGGAGTAACAAGTTCATTAATTTTGTCAGCCATTGCTGCTAAACGGGTTAGATCTTCATTGGAAGCAGCAAGAATTATTTGTATGTTATTAGGGAGACGCGAAAGCCATAGTGACTTCAACAAGTCGTCACTAAAATGGCTTCCTGCCAGATCACGCATTCGTGACAGCAAGTATGAAGGTCGCTGATCTCCAAGTTCAAGTCCTTGTAGTAAAGTACGTATTTTTGAAGATTCACTTTCTGAATAGATTTCAATGAGCCGCTGTTTCAGTTTGGAGTATTTATCACAATCAGGTGGTTTGAGAATTAAGTCATGCACTGAATTCAGAATATCAGACTCAATTGCTGCAACTACATGGTTGAATTTTGTAGAATCCTCACTAATGCGAGCGATAGAAAATTGTGCTTCGATCTGAGCGAACCACAATGAAGGATTATTTTTCCAGAAAGGCGGTGGCTTCACCGCAACGCGTGTGATTTGTGGCTCTGGTGGAATATCGTCGGGCATACTGATAGATAATTTTCACTTTAATTAATAAACACTTAACAGCACAAATATTGTAGCATGAGGATACACTATTGATATTTTACCATGATAACAATAAATATTTTAACCATGCAGAAAAAATTTACGTAACGATACACACACAAATAAGACAGGGTCAGCAATTACACACACAAATAATATTTTACCGAAATGCATTTGAAAAGAAACCCTTATTTGAGAAAAAAAAATGATGCGTTCATTTTGTATTGCGCACACACAAAATCACCACTTCACACTGCTAAGGCACTTTCGAAGGAAAAAGGAAATCACTCCTGTAGCACATGGGAAAAAAATCACTACTTTCGAACACTGAGGGAAGAATTTTGCCGTAGCACGTTGCAGAAAAATTACTGATGTAGCACATTTAGCGAAAATCACTATTGTATCACATTTGTCACAAAAGTTGAATGATCGAAGAATTATTGCACGACTGGCGAAGTCAGCGGAACGGAACAGATCACATTGATGATTTGCTGAAGCTCCTTGCGATGATATGCACGACTTTGAAAAAAAAAAAAAAAAAACACAAGCAATATATATCAATACTTCTAGAAATAATTGAAGGGGTACGTTGTAGCATACGTTTAATGTCCATATTCGTTGTTATTTTTAGTCAGTTCTTCAGAATGCCTTGGATGCACGTGGCTTAGGGTCGTTGAAAATCCATTGTCAGTAGCGTGCTCAGTCAAAAGGTCACCACTTTTGGTGGTCGTGTGTGCTTAATGCATGATATAATTAAAGAAAATAAGAGTAGACAATCTCCTATAACAAAAGAATATATTAAATACTAAATTACAATTTAAATTACATTGCAGAGATCAACACAGAGCTCGGAACACAGTTCATGCTACCTTCGCGTACAGTTGTGTGACGAGAAGTCTGAGTGAGTAATGATGTCGCTTTGCTGCTCCGATTAAGAACTGGATTTTACACGTGGCGCCATCTCATGAATAGAAGTTGAAGTATCTGTCGGAACGCCACATTGGATTATTTTTAAAACATGGATCAACTTATAAGTTGACACCACAGTTAACACAAAATGAGTAAGAAAAAACATAAGTTTTGCTTTAAAAGTATCCATGCTCAATGTGGAGTTAGGTAGCATTTTTTTGGGGGGGTTAACTTACAGAAATTCTGAAAGAAATATGAAAAGCACAAAGTTTCAGCTGAAGTTCTGTACAATTCATTATGTTGGATTTTCATACTTTCTGAGGTTCACTGTAATAGTATAAAATAACATTAAGTGTAGAGGAAACTGAATGGGACCAGAAGATTTGCTTTTCATATCTGAAGGCTCACTATAAGCCAGGTTTCAGATGCAATAAAAAATAAAATATAATAAAAATAAAGGATAAAGAAATACAGTCAAAAGTCGTTAATTCGGACACCCATAATTCGGAATGATCTATAATCCGAACCTCAAAACTAAGAACTTTCTGTGCATGTGCCGCGTTGACACATGCGCAAAGGCGTTTACGCGTGCGCGTAAGACCTTTGACGACTGCGCATATGAGTGTGCGCAAGTGCAGAATACGTTTTCGCGTGCGTGTTTTATGTATAATGGACGTATAAGCTAAAATTATCTAATTATCTATTTCAGTTAATGTTAATGATTGCGATGTTCCTTAATTTTTGAATTGGATCCGGCTTATTATTTTTTGCAGACTGTAAGAGCAATTTTATAAAAGTAAGCTCAAACTTTCGATTATATCAAATAGAATTTCCGATATAATATTTGTTAATATGTAAAGGATCTAAAGCGAAAGTATGTTTTGAAATCCGAAATCTGTTTATCAATTTCACGCTGCTCGGCGGGGGGAACGCCGCGGCGAGCGCATAATGAATTGGAAGTTGATCTGTCCAGCACTATCCTTATCTTCAGCGCAGATGTTTTTATTTTATTTGGCTTATAATTTCCTTACCAAATGTAGTATTTCATCTCGATATGCTCCGTCTTTGATATGATTTAAAACAAGTTCCTCGTCATTATAATTCGCTTCCGATAGCGAAGAAAAGTGACAGAGGTATTGAAAACGAAAAAATTTCGATTGACAAATTAGTCGGTTGTTCTGCTCCAACACAGCGGTTCCATAGACTTGAAAGCAGAACTTTGTAACTGAAAAAGAGATTATGTCTGTCTAATAGAATTAAAAGAGAAAGTATTATCACAATGAAAACAAAGCAAAACTTAAACAACATACATTGAAAGAAATGTTTAATAAAGGTAAACAAATAAATATTAAGCTTTTTCTTTTTTTGCAAATTTGATACCCTTTAGATCATAAATTGTTCTTTATTTCATAAATTACGGTTTCATATTTTTAATTTTAGAATTTTCTGCATGCCATCTTAACGAGATTTAAACTGATGATCCAATATCCGGAAAAATCCCAAATCCGGAATCGCCGAAGTCCCGACGAGTCCGGATTAACGACTTTTGACTGTAATATAAAGTTTTATAATCAAATGAAAAAAATATGAGCACAGTGAAACATAATAAAAATATTAACAGCAAAAAAGAAAAAAAATTCTGAAAGGTTTCAAATTTTAAATTACATCTAAAAAGGCGTTTCTTTAACATTTTGTGTGTTAACTTTATTTATTAAATATCGTGTTCTTCGCACTTAAACCATAAAATTCAATCCAAGAGCAATATTGCAAAATGATTTTTAAATGAGCATATCTTTAGAATGTCCGATGCACAGTCTCGTGCGCTAGGGATAAAAATGTTTTTTCTGTACAACGTTGCCATTGCTTACTATGAAATCCTTGAGTTTGTTAATCAAAAATTCATTAAAGTTTTACAAAATATGAAATCGATAATAAAACAAATTCCGAATTTCAAATTTGTGCTTCCAGATGCTCCTATTTGTGGGAGAATTACATTATTCAAAATTTAATGGCTCTAGGTACCACTGTTTTATCACAGTGCGAGAAACATATATACATTTATGCAGATTCTTTATTATTTAATTTCTTTAAATGTAATACAGGGCAAAAATATTTGGTGGTAACAATTTGAAAAGTGAAACAACGCTTGTAGTTAATTGATGCAAAATGCCAAAATGAAATTAATAGTCCTTCTGAGCAAATTGCCCCTTTGGACTAAAAAATCATGTGAAATATCAAATAATGTATAAGATTTAAAGGCAAAATAATAAAACATTAGATTAAATAAAAGAAGAATAATAATTAAAAGGAATTGAAAAATGATAACTGTGATGAATACACCTCATATAATAGAATGTAAGTAGATTCTCCTGCCTTCTTCCTTCCTGTTGCTGATACTTGGAAGACCACTATGAATGGTCAGTTATTTGGCACTTCGCAAGTAAAAATAGAGTTGGAGATAAAAATGGGTTATATGCAAGTTTAGCTGTATCTTATTTGAACTAAAAAAATATGTATTTTAAATGATAATAATGGCTATCATTTTGAAATTTCCTTTAATCAAAAATGGCAGATCAAACTTTTTGTTATTAACAAGCAAAATATTTTTAGGAAAAGATACATATGCCACCGGAGTTCTTTTTTGAAAGTCGAAAAGGGGAAAAATTGCATTTCAAAAAATGCAAATTGTAAAGCTTTTGTGAATGTAGTAGTGAAGAGAAATACCAAGTTTACAAGGCTACGAGATGATTTTATCAAGGTAAATATGTGAATTTTATTTTAAATATATCAATATATTTCTGTGCATTTATCTAGCTATTTAATCATTTATTCATAATTACTGTTATATGTCTAACTAATTTTAATTACACTAAGTATTTTGTAAATTTACTTAATGAACTATGAAGTTGAAACTACTATATAGTTATATAGGTCATAAGGTACACGGAGGTAGGAAAAAGTGAGATAGCCTAACCAGTTTTTCTTTTTTACTAGCTGAAAGCAAGGTGACACATCTGTCTTGACTCTGAAAATATTCATTTACCATCGAATGATATATGTTTCAATACTTGTAAATAAAATCTTTATAAACATAAATTTTATAGTTGCATTTTCTTTACCATTTCAGAGTGTTGATAATGTAAAATGGTATTTCTTTTTAGACTGCATTTCGTTCTAAATAATGTTAAATACTATTATTTTCATTAACTGAAAGTAATTTTAAATCTAAGGAAATGTTTACACATAATGTTATTAATAATCTTTGTAAGAACTTTTATGTTAATCTAAACAAAAATAGAAAAACGTTCTTATAATATTAATCCCTAAGTCATGTGCCATTTCTTTTATGTTTACTGAAGTTTGATTTGATTTTTTTAATTGTTATTTTTATTCTTTGCTAAGGCATCTTTTTAGATACAGAATTCTATTAACACTCTAGTTAATGATTTTTCAATTTATTTTTATCACATAATATCGTACTTGTTGATTTTAGCTGTTTCTTCCCCCCCCCCCAAGAAACAGAAATTGGAGTGCTTTATTCTTGACAAGAAATATAGTTACCAATGCACATGAGTTCATTCAGTGTGCACAGTATATACACTGGTGGAATAAATTAAGAGAATTTGCATAGTTTATCGAATTGCATGAAAAGAACTGAACTGAAGGGAAAACCACTGCTTCTAGATGAAAATGCAACTCTTGTACAGCAAATACGTAAGCGTACACGTGTGTAGGTGGAGCCAGCAGGAAAACAAGCTTTATAAGCATGTGGAGGGTAAGACGAGTTGCATTTGCTAGCACACGAATCGAATTTCTTGATGTTATCTTGCAGCAACCAGTTAAATTCACATCGGAACATTAAAAATGAGTAACCACCAACGTTTAGATGATAAAATGAGGTGACGAATTGTAGGGAGGCTAGAGGCAGGCCAATCACAAGTCCAGATATGCAGAGAGTTTAATTTAACTCCCAGTGTGTAACCTATGGAAACAGTTCCAGGATACTGGATCCATCGAGAGAAAGCCTGGGCAAGGTCGTCCAAGAGCCATGATGGGCAGAGAAGAATGCTATTTGTCCATTTTATTGAGGCGTAACAGAGGGGCTACTGCTCCTCAGCTTTCTCGGGACCTGTATGCAGCCACAGGAACCCTAGCGACGAGTCCCGTTTTAGCCTAAACACCGATTCTCGCCATACTCTCATATGAAGAGATCCAGGGACCCGCTATCTACACTCCATTGTTCGTGAAATCAACAGTTATGCCAATGGCGGTGTAATGGTCTGGACAGGCATCATGTTGGATGGCTGCACATGTCTCCACGTCTTTGACAGAGGCTTTGTGACTGGTGTGAGGTATAGAGATGAGGTCTTGGAACCCTATATTTGCCTTTTCCAGGGTGCAGTGGGCCCTAAGTTCATCTTACAGGACGTTAATGCAAGGTCATGTAGAGCTCTTCTGGTCGACGGATTTCTCGAGAGTGAGGATATTCGCCGGATGGATTGGCCAGCCAGATCTATAGACCTTAACCCTATAGAGCATGTCTGGGACGCTCTGGGGAGGGCAATCGCAACTCGCAACCCCGCTCCGAGAACCATCCAAGATCTGAAAACAATGTTGCTGAATGAGTGGGACCAGGTTCCCAAAGGCACTGATAAGCTGCCTTATTTCCGGTATGACATCACGCTTCGAGGCCTGTATGGCAGTAAGAGGAGACCAAACCCCCTATTAACCCATTTCTTTTGTGTCTTCTGCAACTACTGTTCCAGACCTTCAGACGCCCATGAGAGTTACATGCGAACATGTGTGTTTATTATAACTGTTGAATGTTTATTTTGTTTGCATTATATCAACCTATGTTCATGCCAAATTTTATTAAAATCTGTTCAGTAGTTCTGGAGATTGTAGATCAAATATGAAAATTCTCTTAATTTCTTTCACCAGTGATATATGTAATGAAAAATATTTAGAAGTACTGATGCAGGAGCACTGAGACTTGCAAATGCAGAAATACTGTTGGCAAAGCATGTAGATGGCAGATTGAAAAGAAAGACTTCTAATTGCATAGAATGCTAAAACTTTGAATTCGTGATGACTAAGAATCTTGGCAATCAAGGCAGTTTAAATTAAATTTTTACTTAAATTGACATTTGTGGCCACAATTCACTTGGAACTCTAATAGTGCCTATTTCCAAAAAATTAACATTAATATAGTTGCGATAGGAAGAGAGCACAGCGAAATAGCATCCAAGCAGCACAGAGTAAAGTACACAGTTATGCAGTATGGAAGCTCACCAAGAAAAGATTTTGGTTTAAGTTAGAAAGGTTTCAGTTCTTGAAATTTTGACTTCATGTTTCGAATTAGCTACGTTATCAGCTTTACACAAGCCATGTGATGTAGATTAATCTGGAAATAATGCAGTTCAGAAAAGATATTACTGCTTTTAGAATACAGAGAGGAAATAACCCAAATTAAAAATGAGGAATTAAAAGCTTATTGCTAATTTGAATCATAAAGCTGGTTTACATATCTTTTACCTTACATGTATACAAAGCAAATTATGTGAAATAAATAAAAATTTTAAAATATTTCTTTAAAAAAAATAGACAAAGGCCAAATAAAATTTATTTAAGTGATGGCTCATGAGCAGTTTTAAGAAAAAGTAGATCAACCAGATTTGAAATGCAGGAAATAGCAATTGAATGAAACAAACTTAAATTAAAATTTACATTTAATTTGTTTCCTGATCTGCAGGTTGTAGCTTGTTAATAACTTTAGTGCTGAATAAAGGATCTCAACTATTTTTATATTTTCTGTGCCACTATTTTTATATTTTCTCTGATGTAGGAGCCCCCATTTTTTTTTAAAACTTTTTAATGATGTTTTATGTTTTTCAGATTTTTTTCTTTTTTGTCATTCTTGTAAACTAGTCATTCATCCCTATGTAATTCAAGGGCTTTTCTCATAACTAAATTTTCCAAATGCCTGTGCAAATCTCAAATTTAGTTAACCATTCCTATTGAATTTTTGAATGCTAATGCAACTAAATGTTAGGATGCAGAACATGATTTAACTTTCAGGAAAGGCATATAATTTGATCCTCTTTTTGTTAAAGAAATAAGTTTCGAGGGATTTTTAACTTTTTTATGCAAAGGTAATTTAACAAATGGCTGCAGAATAAAAAAATAAATAAATAAATAAAACAAAAACCTGTTTATTCATGAATTGCTTTGTATTTGTTCATCAACTAGAAGAAACAAATAATTTTTAACCCCTTCGAGCCGGGTAGCGAAAACGCGCGCTTATCGCGGAGGCCGGCAGTGTCTTCCGCAAGTGTCTCTCCAGGGCCGGGGGCTTTTTTGCTACTAAACCTAAATCCATGAAATTTCCGAAGTATCAATGCATTGTTTAATAATGCTCTATAGAGTATTTAAATGGCTTATGCTTTATAGATATTTTTATATATATACTATAATTACCTTATTTCTTGTTTAAATGCATATTCTACACATTTTATTTTAATTACTCACCATTTTATGACTTTTAACATTATAATCTGAAAACTAAATATATTACTTAAAATTCTCTTTTCGTATGAAAAATTTTAAAACAGGGATCTATACACAGTCACAAGGTTACATTCCTTGAACTCGTAATAACTCATTTGCCGTTTTGGAGGATTTTTCCGGGAATGTGAACAAACGACGCATTGTCGTCTCATTTTCTTATCAATCTCTTCTGAACAAAGTTTTGGAAAATGTCTTTCAGTTAATCTTTCAGAATCAATATCAGAATTTCAGAATCAATATCTGAAATATTTTGCATCATTTCTGCTATTTCATGCTCTGTTAAACATTTTCGACGCTTCGACATTGAAACGGTAAAAACAGAAAGAATTCACGTCTAACAAGATCTAATTATTTTCTAAAAACTGAACTGTAAACTGAAATACCTCAACGCTTTAGCGCAATATAAAACTTCTACTTACAATAAACAACTACCATGTGCGAATAAAGTGCGATTTAAAGAGACGTCATAAATCACGCCATTCGGAAACATTTAGTTCCCCGTTTGTTTATATAATCAAAAACACGTGTATGTGAGTCATGCTTCTCTCATTTCAAGTAGAAGGTCTAATGCACATGTATCTGAAACCATATGGACATACAGTGCCATCTTGTGGCAGAAATTATAGTTTGAAAAACGTTCCAAGGTACTGGCACAAATACGTGACAGTCGGTCGAGAATGTAACAATCCTCTGGCACGCCTGCATGTTGGCCGGTAGATAAGTGTGTTCATTGCTGGCACGTATACGTGACAGTTGGCACGAAGGGGTTAACTTGCCAAGCATGTATCTTTGCGAATATATATTTGTGTGTGTTTATTAAAAAAAAATCATTCTAGCCTTCTAATGGTAATGAAATCAAAGATAAGCATACAAATATATGCTAAATAATTGCAGAACTTCGTATTTTTCTGTTTTAATATGTTCATTTACCAGTTATTTTTGTGGTTGCTGATTTTGAAGTTTATGAAATTTTTTAATTTCTTTGCTTAACTATCAAAAAGAATGTGATGTGTACACCACATGACTCCCTTGCACGAAATATTAAATTATACACATTTTTCCTGCATTTCATTTAAACTTATCGAATTGAATTAAATCTACTTCGTCGGTAGCGTATAAACCATAATAGAATAAATGTACTCTTTAAGATTCACTATATTTATCATAGCAACACTCTGGTTCTAGGTTCACTTAACAGCGTTCCATCTCATTCATTTTATAACTCAAAATGTGCAAAAGTTATGTCATCTGAAGAATTATTTAAAAAGATGTATAAAAGAAATTAGAAAAATAAAAAAAAAGAAACATTTGTTGGGAAGTTTAGTTTCTTTAGATTGACAGCAAATCCACTATTCTGCTAAGTATCAAATGTAAAAAAATATGGCTGCTATAATTAAAAAAAAAAAAAAAAAAAAAATTAGGCTTAGCTGTACTTAAAGAACTTTTGAATTGTTGATAAATCTACAAATATTACATGCGGGTTAACTAAAGGCATAAAAATCCTTAACCGTAAGATAAGAACAGTATAATTCAATCATTTTTAAAGCAAAAAATTCACAATTTATCAACATATAAGAATTAAAAAAAAAACAGCTCACGAAGTCGAGTAACAGAATGGGTATATGAATATATATATATTTATTTACTTTTGGTGCATCTAATTGCATTTTGCTTTCATTTTCAGAAAAAGGAGAATTAATTAAAAAGAAGTACAGGAAAAGGTACTGCTTCTTAATAGATATTATATATGCTTAAATATTATATGTAAAACTAAAATATATATAACAGTAATTTATAATCACTGCAGAAAAAAAATCATACAAGACTAAGCTGATGGCATAAAGTTAAAAATGTTTTTAACAGCAGACATAAAATAAAAAATGGGATTTAGTATAGCAGAGAAAATTTCTGTGTTGGAAGCATGAGAGGGCATATGAATTGAATTAAATAAGAGTCTGAATTATATTCAGCTGTACTTCAGTGATGTTTACTGTACCATTTTACACTACCTTGCAAGCACTCAATAGACTGGTATGACACTTAGTGTCTAGATCAACAAAATGATTTACTGGAGAATATTCAGGTTTCAAATAATAAAATCTGTTAAAAACTGTAATTAGATTTTTAAAAAAATTGAAGTTATGTGAGCAAATTCAACAGCAGTATCTGAAAATATTTAGAAACAGCGTAACTTAAGAATTTCCGATAGAAAAAAAATGGAGGTGTTCTGAAGATAAAAGTGTTTTTTTTTTTTTTTTTTTTTTCTGTACTGTCTTGCCATTGCTTGATTTGAAATCATCATTCAGTTTGTTAATCAAATATTCATAAAAGTTTTACAAAATATGAAAGAGATAATAAAACTGATTTGAAATTCAAAATTCGGGCTCCCAGGTGTCCATGGTCAGGTGGAGGATTACGTTACTCAAAATTTTATGACTTTAGGTACTGTCATTTTTTTCACAATTTGAGAAGGCTTCATACATTCAGGCAGATTCTTCATTATTTAATTTCTTTAAATATAATGCAGAGCAATAATATTTGGTGGCAATAATTTGAAAAGTGATTCAGACTTTCATAGTGATTCAACACAAAATGTTGTTTTGAGACTAAGCTCATCTGGGCTAATGCCCACTTGGGCTTAAAAAAAAAAAAAAAAAAACAATATAGAGGACTACAACAGAGCCCTCCTTTCAAAAGAAAATGCAAATACTATTTTAGTTTTCAAAGTCCTGCAATTCAGCATGAGGTTTCCCTGTTTTTCTCTATGTTTAACATAAATATGTGCCAGTATCTGTAATAAACTTGTAACCATACCAGAAACACACGTTCACAAGTTTTTGTTAACTTTTGTGATGTTAAATACCATTAGAATCAATAATTATGATGAGAAAGGTTATAACACAATGGCTTAACATTTCATCATAGCACATGTCATCATATGCATTTCATAGCCAGTGATAACACATGGTTTAACATTTTAAGCACTTGGATATTGCATCATGTTAAAGTTTCTTCTGACATATTTCTCCTTTTGAGTTTTTGTTTCAGAAGTTTTGAGTAGTCCACAACTCTTATATTTTTCACATCTCAGTCTGTGATATTTTCATTTTTGTAGATTGCTACCGCTGATTTATAATTTGTGAATACAGTGTTTCATGAAACAAGTCTCATTATTACCTCAGCGGTGTAGTGTAGTATTAAAAAACTGGGCCTAGATTTGAATATTTATTTATCTGAACTATATGTATAATATATTCTAAGATTTGTTTTTTAAATTTCTTTTTTCTTTTGTAAATGTTTTTAACCTGTTTTGCTTACTTAACAAAAGTCATGTGATGTGCAGTACAGTAAAAGTTCGGGAAATGCCGAATTCCAGATATGTGAAAATTCCATATTGTTGAGCTTACAAAAAATGGAATTCACATTAGAAAAGGCAAATCAATGAGAAAAATTTTCACTCCAGAATTGTAAAAACAATTACCTTATTGTTATCAACTTGAATATCAAAAGCTTAAAAATTATATAAGATTTTGAAGGAAGCAAAAAACATGCCATTCACTCATAAAAGGTGACGTATTTCAATTATTCTGAAATCCTGCTGAACATGAAAGTTGGTGGAAATGTTGCTAGGCATTCCAGTATAAGTTTAAATGAACAGAACTATATAGTTGAATAATAAAGAGCTGTAAAATCCAGATATAGCATATAAAAAACATAAATTGTTTATCATAATTTTTCACATTATATGGACTTGTTTATCCAAAGTCATTTTTTATTTCTGGATCTTGTAACTCTGAAAATACTCCACTTCATGCAGTCCCAAATATTATGCATTTTTTCAAAATGTGAGGAAAAATTAGAACTAATATCCTGCTTTACAAAAATTAAACCAGTTTATCGAAAATTAATAGAGTTTACATTTAAAAAAAAATAACTTTTTACTATTATGTTGGGACATTATGCTTACTATTACCGGCATTAAGTCACATTGTTTAATTACAATGTCTACATGTTAACAATATTTCCAGTTCTTTAATGGCATTACAAATATCTACATTTACTAAATGTTTTAGTGAAAATTTTTTTAATTTCTAAAATATTCTGGTTACTTGAGCTTTCCGGTTAGTTGAATGCCAGATAATCGGGCTTTTACTGTAGTTTGAATTTTAAAAGTTACTAATTTTTTGTGGCTAAATTGATGAAGAATAGAATTCCTATTTATATGTACATATATATATTTGATTTTTAGATGGGATTGTGTGGAATAATTACAATTCATGGAGAGCATAGTCATCATTTGAACACGGCTGATGATATACAGTTTTTACCCATCGATCCTGAATTAAGAAACAAATTCTTTAACTATTTTAGCACTGGCATGGGTATTTCTGAAGCATGGAAGTTCCATGATCGATTAGTTGGGATAAAAAAGGAGAATGGAGGAGAAGTTCTAAGACGTGCACACAGAAATCCTAGTTTAAGATCTGTTCGACATTGGTATAAAATGTGGCGAAGTAAAGATTTAAATGCACATAATTGTGATAAAAAGGTATGATAAATTGAATACTTTTTTCTTTTTAATGTAAAATAATAGAGAGTTGCTAAAGTGAATTTTCACATTTTAATAATTTTTTTTAGTTTAATCATTAATTGGATACTAATAAAATAGCTATCATATAATTTTCAGAGAAGACTGCACATTACTTTGATCTACCATATATTCCCATATAAAAACTGATAATTTTAAAAAAAAATTATTATTGATGTTTGGGGGTTAGCTTATGTACAAGTTCAAAAAGATTTACAAATAATTCTATTGCAAAATTGGTGTTACAAGTTAAATAACTAACTTTAAGTAATTCTAATATACATTAATCAGACTTTTCAATATCGGTTCCAAGTTGGATTTTTCTAGCAGTTCTCAGAAATATTTCTCCTATAGGCAAATTTGGGTTAATCTTTCATTTGATTATTAACATCATTGCCATCTTTTCATAGATATTGCCTGCAGTTCCATCAACACTTAGTAAAAATTATTATTTTTAATTTTAAACTGCAGAAAAGCAGTCTTTTAATTCAGACATTTTTAATTATACAGCAAAAATGGAGAATTTGTTTTTAGACATTTGTCAGAAATTCACTCTGTTACAAAAAAATATATGCACCCAGAAAGAATGGAGCCATAACTATGAAAGTTGGCAGTAGTTTAGTGTTTGCATATCAAAAATCGGGGCAAAAAAAAAGAATTTTATTTATGAATAACAGTACAAACAATGTGAAAATCAATCCCTGGCAGCTATACAAGCCGATACTCGTTTGGACATGGAGTTTATTAAGTTGCCCGTGTCCCTTCATGGTAGATTTTGGCACAAATGGAGCAACCCATCAAGTTGGGACATATTTGTACAAAGCTGAATTTGCCTGCCCAACATGTTCAATAGGCAACAGGTCTGGAGACCTGACAGGCTAGTCGAGGACATTAACATGTCGAAGACATTTTTGGAAAATCATGTTATATGTGGCTGAGCATTGTCCTACTGGAAAATAGAGCCTGGAAAACCTGCTTGCAGTATGATCCACTGCAAAATATTATCAACTTACCTGCGAGCAGTCAGAGTACCTTGCAGCATAACTAATGTTGAACATCTGTTCCAGCTGATCACTTCCCAGACTGTCACACCCTGTATTCTGACGGGGTGTGGCTCAGTAACAAATGGTACATTGGACCGCTCACTTCTCCGTCTCCAGACACATATGCGGCGGTAATCAGCATTGAGTGATTTGTTGCTAAAGATCACATTTTTCCAACTGGACTCTATCCAGCTTGAACGAGAGCAGCATCATGCAAGATCACACTTCTTATGGTAGAGTGTCAATGGGAAGCATCTTAATGGACGTCGAAATCTGAGCCCTGCACCACCAAGTCTTTTGTAAATCATATCCCTGGATCCCTACAAGTTGGCAAATGGCATTGAATCAAGTACAGCATAACTGTTGGTATAAATATGGCAGCTCTTCTAATTGCGCAATGATCTCGCATATTTGTGGCCTGGGGATATCCTGAGCCACTACAGCGGCTGACTATACCTTGATTGAATTACTGATTCCATCAAAGGCCAATGAACATATTGCTTTGGCCAATATGCCAGCTGATCCACCTGTTCAACCAACTGGCCTCTTTTAGCCGTATGATGTGACCCTTCTCAAAGTCCGACAATTGTTTGTAATGCTGTTGAATACATCTTAAAGGCATCTTTTGTTACAGTATTATGTATCCAAGCCATTAGCACAGCTCTAAATGTTTTAGTCATTCACTGCACCTGCTTTTTTGTATTTTACCAGCTGCGCTTTTCAGATCGGCACTGCATGGCTGTGGAGCTGATTGGTGCTGTAAGTTTAATCATTTACACAACTTGTCAAAGCATATTTGCATGCTGCATTTTGTAGTAGTGGCTCAATTTTTTTTGGATACATATATTTTTTTGCTGCCTAGGATAAAAATGATGCTTATACAGTACAAAGTCCATAATGCGGACTCATCGGGACTTCGGCCATTCCGGATTAAGGGTTTTTCAAATTATAAATCATCAATTTAAATCTGGTAAGATGGCATGCAGAAATTATACAATTAAAAACATGAAACCGTAATTTATGAAATAAAGATTATGATCTAAAGGGTATCAAAATTTACAAAAAAAGCTTAATATTTATTTGTTTACTTTATTAAACATTTCTTTCGATGTAAGTTAAGTTGCTTCATTTTTCATGCTAAATGCACATGCGTAAACATTAAACGTGTATGCGTATAGCATAGGAAAAAAAAAAAAAAAAACAAGACGTTTGTGGCTTTGAGGTGTGGATTATAGATTATTCCGGATAATGGAAGTCCGGATTACAGACTTTGTACCATACTAAAGATTTAGAGAATTAAGAAAAAGAAACTATTAATGCCAAAATTGCCTTTTCATTTGAAATGTTTTAATCCTTATTTTTTAAATAATTGACATCTAACTTATGTGATAATTCTGGCTAGACTAAATAACTATTATTCACACATTTCGCAATATATAGATGGTGTTTACACAATTTTAGAATGGTTTCAGGGCCATTTAAAATGCAAAGAGTATTTTTTTTAAGTGTTCCACCTGATAGCCTTTTTTCTGGACTATAAGTCTGCATTTTAATTTCCATGATAAAAGGGTTTTCATAAAATTTCCAAGGGTGCTGATTTCCAGACCTCTTCTACTATTTTCGAGAGTCCATCAAACATTGTGAGTTTGTTCTGAGAAAGAGCTTTTTCAATAGACAAAATGCACAATAGTTTATAAGTGAAAAATCAGGGCACTTTGTAGGAGTATGTTGAAAAGATAAGTATGAAATAAAAGTAGCAGCCTTCATTTTTTTCAAGGAATGTAGTGGTACTTTTTGGAGTGTAGCTTGCTTCTTTGTCTTGATGAAGTTTCACCCTAAAAAAGTCATTGGGTTAAAGAAATGGAATTTCTTCTGTCAGTAACAGACGTAAAACTTTCTCTTGATAGTGCATTGCATTGTAATTTTTTTTTTTCACTCTTCTTATTTTTAATTTCCTGTTCTAAGAGAGGCCTGTGATAGTCATACAGCTCTTACTGAAACTTCCTTTGCATTGACGGAACAAGGTTTGTACACATTTTATTATCTTTGCTTTCAATAATAAATAAGACATTTTATGTTGTAATTATTTATTTAAACTCATGCTTCATCAAGAGTCACAATGTATTGCTCCTGCTAAATTTACCATTTAGTTTTCATATTGACCTGTATGAAAACTATTTGTAGTTTTCTACAAATTGTTCTGCACTCATGCACATGTCTCGGCAAAAGCTGGTGAACATTATGTTTTTAGCTTTTTTAAGTGATAAATCTTGGTTTATTATTTTATTTATTGTTACAGATGTATTTAAAAACTCTGAAATTGGTTTCTGCATTAGGGAATTTTCTTTTGTTACCAATGGTTTAACTTTAGAAATATTAGAAGTAGTACATACCTTTTTCTGGCATTCGCTTGGAGTTTTCTTTCCATGTAAAAGTAATGACTGACTGTTTTTCACTTTCACTTTTCTTTTCGGAAAGCGCAAAAACATATCCTTCAGTTCACAGCTTGTTTACATGTGACATTTTAAAAGAATGAATTTAAAAATAGCATACAATATTTTTCATTTCATATAATAAATTGCTGCTAGAAATTTTTATTCCAAATTCTTTTCTTTTAATTCTTTATTAAAATCATTCTGAAAATGTCTTATTTCCCTCTGTATATAGTTGGATTTATAGGGTAATTTTAAATTTCTATTTATGAGTTCTGGCTAAATTTTTTCAGTAAAATATTATCTGTTGGCTTATGCATGGATTGGCATGTATCCAGAAATACACAGTATTCTTGATTGAATTACTGCCATATTCATTTCTGTATTCATGATATTCAAAATTATTTTGTTACTAGATTTTGAAGCAAATATTTTGCTGTTAGTATTAAAATAACTACACCATGAAGGAAATGCATAATAAATCTGAAATATGTGTGAATGATAGAATGATCTAGGGTATATAAATGATTAACATTTTATGGCATGTGCATATTGCTGGCAGGATTACTGAATATAAAAAATACATTGAAATGCCGACTTTTCATTTGAAATTGCATTTTTTTCATATTTTTTGGTTGTACCTCATGTTAACTTATATCAGCATGACTCAGAGTTTTGATCACAGGAAAACCATAACACATAGGGATTGTAGATTATTGCCCTGTCCAATCGCTGCTTACATTGGTTGAAATCCAATGATTGCTATGAGAATTTGCAGTTGATAAGCTTAGTATGAATGTACAGAGTTATGTATGGGATCTCAATGACCCTCACGAGTGTGTAAGAGGACAAACATCTCATCCATATTGCTGTTAATGATCACACAACCACATTATGTATCCTAGGTTGGGAAATCAAGTGTTGCAACTATATCCACACAATATGATGTGATATGTATTGCCATGGATTGTCCGCAAAGCAGCTATTATGTTGGCTAGCCATGGACATATCGATAGCATGGTTATTAATTTGTTTTTCTCCCTAATGAATCCTGCTTTTGCTTATGGTATCATGATAACTCTATTCTCATATGGGGGGGCATTGATGAGAGCAAACGTACTATTTAGCACCTGGATTGATATAGGGTTTACTGTGTGCATAGCGTAAGATACCTTTAGCCTATATATCTGATGTTTTGAACAGCCATTTGCTAAATTATAAAGGTTTTAATGGCCGTTACTTTACCCCATCATTGCCGTCTTTGTCATCCTGCCTTTCAACAAGGCAGTGCTAAATTGTATGTTGCTTATGCTATCTTGTGTTTCTTTAGTACACCGGGTGTTCAATTTCTGCTGTGGCCAATGTATTCTCTAAATCTCTTACTGACTAAGAACACCTAATTAGTTATTACTGAGAATGATTGCAAATACAACACCATGAGCCAGAATGGCATAGAATTGAAGCCACATGGACTGTAATACTCGTTACTACCATTTAAAATCTGTTCCACCCTGTGCCCTGGAATATAACAGCTGTTGTTATTTTTCAGAGCTGGATAGTAGGGAATTTCTGCATGGTCTGTGCCTCAAAGTTAGGTGAAATTTGAGTCTCCTTCAGTTATAATAGATTTATAAAGCAAATATGATTATGCTAATTGTTTTCCCTTCATTTTGCAGCAGTTTTATTGGCCAGCATATTTTACTTTAATTATAACTAAAATTAAATCTGCTAGGTGTAATAATTTTATTTTATCATTTGTGTAATCTGAAGTCATCATATTTGATAATAATGCTGATTACACATATATAAAATAGTTAATTAATTAATTAATTTTTTGTCAATCTAAAATCAGCAGTATTAATTTTAAGAATGATTTTACTAATCTGTTCCTCTCTGATATTCTCTTAGATGTCTTTATGTAAGATATGAGTTGATGTATTCTAAAAAATTTAAGAGATTATAGTTGAGTGTAATTAGAATGTCTTATAGAATTAGAAGTTATCTAATTAATACTTCTAATTTTAATCATATATAATTATTAGTTTTGTTAGTCTGAAATGGTAGTGAATTTATTTTATATCCATATATATGTCATTTGCAAGAAATATTAATAACCTTTGTGACATTTTTAGGATTTGGGTAAATCTCCTGTGACTAAAAGACAAATTAGAAAAACTAAAATCCAAAAAATTTACGCTAAATCAATTACACTTAAAAGTAACAAAAAAAGTACTGTTGGCAACCAAAAAATATAACTTTATTTATATACATGCAGATTTATTACTATTTTAGTTTCACATAGCGCACCCTAAATTGAACACTGTTGACAATTTAAAATTAGGCAAAAAAGCAAACTTAATTTGGCATGGATTTCAAGAGTTTCGAGGGCAGTCAGAAACAATTCCTTCTTTTTCAGCAACAAAGAAAAAAGGTTTGCAAAATGGGAGGAGTGTCGATTGCTTTTATATCCAAAGCGATGTGTGGAGCAAAGTGAACCCAAACATAGTGTTACCTGTCGAAGAAAATATTAATGAAATGTGAAATAAAATATTAGAATCCTGAAAGTATTTGGAAACAATTAATATGATTAACCAAACAAAGTAAGATGGATCAGAAAAAGAGATAAAGATGGATTGGAATTAATGTCATTAACTAAAAAAAATAAATTTTTGAGTACACGAAAAGTTTCAAGGAAATCCATCTCACCAATTGAAAAAGCTTTATGGATAATTTTTATAAAACGAAAAGTGAAAATTGTGATTAAGTGATTAGCTATTATTAGCTCTCAAAAATTTAATTATTTCTACATCTCCAACATAATAATTTGTCTTTCTTGATGTGAAAATTTTAATGCTTGTTTTGTATGGCAAACGTATAAGCAAATTGCTCTAATAAAATATGCTATAAATTCACAGGCAATTAGGATCAGAGATACGATTTTTAAGAATAGAATAATGGCTTTTACTGATAAGTGAGAAAATTACCTAGATGTTGAACATCTGGAGAATCTGAGTAATTTTGTAACTCATAAAAAGGTGAAGTAGAATAACAACAAAATTATTATTATTTCTCATTCTAATTAATTGTAGTTTATGATATATATGCAAGATAAAAAATGTGAAAGCAGACTTCTAATTTTAATTAGTAATAGCTCCTTTTTTTCTTCATTTTAATTTTTTTGTGTTTCCCCTTTCTGTCCTAAAATTCGTAGCTATTTATAATACATCATTCTAAACTGTGTTATTTCAAAATTAATATGCATCATTCTATCTTATGAAACACAGCAGTGCTGATATCATTTAACCAATCAGATTTCCATAAGAATAAAAACTTTCAGCTCTCTCTTCCATATCTTCTTCTGAATTTGCCACTTTTCCACTTTGCCTTGCTCTTGCAACTCACTACTGCTTGCTGTCTTCAAAAATGTATATTTTGAAAGTTTATGAAAATTCTTTAAGAACAAGGCACTGTAATATCCAGTTTAGAAGTGTTGGCTTGATAAAAAATGTGTAGCAACCATAAATGGAAAGACAATAATTGAATTCAACCATGTCTGCAAGTTTCTTTGGAGTTTTTAATTTTCAGAGGTACGGAAAATATTTAAATTATTGATTCAGTGCCTGAACTAATTTTAAGTATACAGAAACAAAATATTTTTCCCAGGAAGAAGATAACAATATTGTTTGATATCTTTACCTCTTCCTGACAACATAAGAGTTTGAAAATAATACTACAGCCTTTTCCATTGTGTATTTTTATTTAAATTAAATATAATATTTTCAAAAATTCTTTATAACACTAATTTCAATTAACAGCAACATTTCTAAAGTTTTTAATGAGTAAATTTTCCTACTTATATATATATATATATATATATATATATATATTTGCATGTTTAGTGTTAATTTAATCAATATTTACAAATATGTACATAAACCTTTATATGTGTTGTGTGATATTTCTTTCAGAAAAAACAAAAGAAAGTGAAAGTTAAATGTGAAGAAAGTAGCATCACTGATACATCAGATATAACTGAAACAAAGGAAATAAGTCAATTAAATGAGTATGTATCTAAAATATATTTGTTCACAGATAAGAATTTTTTCATTTATTTATACATTTTTTATTTTTACTAACTTACATCAACTTTCTCTATTGTATAGTTTTCTTAAAAAAAAAAAAAAAGATGCTTTATTGGTTACAGTTGTTTGGAATGTAATGTGTATATATATATATATATATATATATATGTAATATTAACATAATTTTGGATACACTAATGTAGAACACTGAGATGTAGATGTGTAGAATTGCTGATTGTGAAGCGACTGATTCTTCTTAAAAATGGATGGAGACTCTAAGCATTAACTATCTTCGCAATTAGCATTTCTACGCATCTACATCGGTGTTCTACATTAGTACATCCAATATTGTGCTAATATTACGTATATTTATTTGTGAGGGGAGAGGAAACTTAATATTTGAGTTTTACTGAAATTAATATTAAATGACCGAAAATATTAAGTATGTATATCTGAATTTTCCATATAGATACACTGGTGTGCAAAAGTAGAATAGGGCAACAGAATGGACTGAAAGACCAGTTAGAAGATAGACTTGGGACAGGTAAAGAAGGGCATGTGCATATATGCACATTACTTAATAGGTGTCACACATGGGTGGTGTATGTTTAGCACTTCGGTGAAAGCTATTGCATGATGTTCAGTGATTTTAACAATGTCGAGTTGCTACTGTAATGTGAAATGACCAACAGGCAATCTAGGAGACATCATCAGGATGACTTTACTTGAGCTTGTATCATCCGGAAATTGAAAAAATTTTGAAGTATGACGAGAGTAGCAGAGGAGTTTGGGACAGTTGATAGCATTTTTTTGCAAGCCTGGAGAACATTTCAAATGGTAGGAACAACTGTATGAGCATTCAGTAGTGGTCATCCACAAGCAACAATGGTGATAGGCAATTGATACTTTGTACTGCTGTCGAGAAGAAACAGGCAGTAGACTTTGCAAGGCATATGCCAGGGGGGCCAACCTGCGGCTCTTTGAAGGATTATTTGTGGCTCTCAATAAATGTACCTGAGTTCCCTTCCTAATTTTTGTATTATTATATTTTTAAAAATTATTATCGTTCCGTACGTGTTTCAAAATGTCTTTTAAATTACTGACAACAAATATGAAAGACTAAGTGTAACATTGTAACTAATTTCATTTCCATCCAATTTAAGAATGATATGACTCATCGAAAACTGCGCGAACGAACATAAACAGTGATGTAACAGCTGATTTTTGTCGGATTTTCGTCCCCTTCGCCTTGTGAATTATAAAAAAAATTATAAGAATATAAATTATGCGAGTCAAAGCCTTGTCCGCCCGATTGCTTCTCAACAAATGATGATCTACGTAATCGACTGACTCTAGACCGATTTTGAATTTGTAAACTTTCATTGCAACGGACAACTGACATTGTGCTCTGGAGGAAACTATTTGTATCACTCTTGCTATGGATATAATTTGTAATCTGGAATTTTTGGCAAGTTAACTATAATTTGTTTCGTAGTATGTAACACGTGTTGTTATTGTTTTAATAACACAAAACTTGTATGTTCTAAATTTATTTATTTATTTCCAGTTCTTTTAAAAATATGGTGACAGAAAACGAAATTAAAAAAAAAGAAAATACGAGCAAGAAAATAGGAGTTTAAATAATGATTTGAAGGAGAATTTCTTTTTTATTGACAATAACAGAAAAACATTATGTGTTATTTATAATTCTACTGTCAAAAATTATAAAGCTAGCAATTTACGTCTACATTATGAAACCAGTCATCCTCAGTTTTCGAATCAGTATCCACCAAATTCCAAATTAAGATCAGATAAACTTGCTTCTTTAAAATCAAGTTTAAATAATCAAGTTTAAATACACAACAGTCAATTTTGATGACCTTTAGCAATCAAGCTAATAATGAGGCCGATTTTGTTAACTTGGAAAACTTGAAAGATGTACTTAAAGTTTTAGATCCAAATAATGCAGCATTGCACAAAATTGTTTCGCAAATTCCCACATCGAGACGCATAACTGCAATTAATACATTTCTTAAATATAATTTAATAAATGATTTGAAGAACTGTAGTGCATTCAGCTTTTTGATGTACCTTTTAATAAACTTGTAAGCATTGTAACTGATGGAGCTCCAGCAATGCTGAGTAAAAAAATTAGTCTTATTATGCTTTTAAGAGATGATTCTCAAATTCCACACTTCATACTGATTCACTGCATAATTCACCGAGAACATCTCATTACAAAATATTTAAAATATCCTGATGTTATGAAAACAGCGTTACACATTGTAAATTACATTCGAACCAATGCAAAAGATCATCGACAGTTCAAAAATTTCCTTGAAGAATTAAAAGAGGAAGAACTTAATGACATTGATTGACTTCTGAATTAGACTACTGAATGTCGAATATAACATTTTAACATGACAAGTATGGTCTGTATGTAACTAGTACGGCATGTGCCATAAATTCCTGCTCATCGGAGATGCCATTAAGAACTGGATACAATAGGAGTGAGTTTAATGCTCTTTGGGGAGAGAGCCACTTTAATATGATGAGCGATTCTGGACATATACACATCTGGAGAAAGAAGGCAACATGCAATCACCCTTCCAACATCATTGAAAGGGACTATTTAGGAAGTGGCAGTGTTCTCATTTGGGGTGGTATCATGCATGCTGACTGACACTGTAGTAAAGAGAGAAGTAGAGGGCGCTGCTTGGCAGTAGTGCAATGCATGTAAGTAGAAACGAAATGTCGTTTGATTAGGCAACATGATTTCTGTGAAGGTAGTCCGCCTAACAATAAGACAGTTGTAAATATGTAAATATAACGAATAATAAATAGCATTAGAAAAACTGAACCATCGGATGTTTTGTACTTGCTCTACGGGCCGCCATGGATAAATGCAGGTTCGTCACAATGGTGCATCTTACGGAAAGTTTGGATTTGTTAAAGTGAACTTCACGAGGAAGTATGTGTCCAGACCATGCCCTAGGTAAGAGCATGATTATTATTAAATTCTGAACGTGTTTGATTTGAATTTTGATAATTTGCAGTCTTAGGTACATTTGTGTATTAACGCGAAATAATGGCAGAACTAGATAGATTAAAACGAAAGAGAACCGCATTGAGAACAGTAGTATCTAAACTACTAAAGAAAGTCGAGGATAGCTTAGGAAAGAAAGATACAGTTGAATTATGTGAAGTGTATGAATTATTAATAGAAAAGAAAAGTAATTTGAAAGAATTAGACGAGGCAATTCATTCCGTAATTGAAATAGATTCTCTAGAAGCGGATGTAGTTAGTTCTGAGGAATATCAGGAAAAATGTTCTCGAGCTATTAAACGAATTAATCGAATGTTGGAAGAGGATAAAATAAGTATTAAAGATCCTGAACAAAACTTGGTTAGACTGCAAAATGTACAAAGTACGGTAAAACTTCCAAAACTAATTTTAGAGAAATATTCAGGTGATCCTGAAAAATTTACGGAGTTTTGGAACAGTTACGAAAGCACTATAGACAAAAACGAAAGTCTTAGTAAGATAGAAAAATTCGAATACTTGAAAACATTACTTACAGGTGCCGCGAGTAATGTAGTATCTTCATTAGAATTAAATGCAAAAAATTACGATGAGAGTATAAAAACTTTGAAGGATAGATTTGGTAAAAAAGAAATAATAATTAGTCAATTCATGAACAAACTATTAAATTTAGAACCAGTAAGGAATTCAAATAATATTAAAGCTTTACGTAGGTTATATGATGAAATCGAAATTGCAGTTCGGAATTTGGAAGCGCAAGGAGTTACGAAAGGTTCATTTGGTCAGTTATTAATACCTGTGTTGTTAAAAGCTATTCCAGAAGAATTCGTTCTGGAATGTAATCGAAGGAAAAACCCAAATGAAGAAATTAACGTTTCAGACTTGTTGGTCTTCATAAAGCGGGAAATTGAATGTCGTGAAGCGTCGAGTTTATTGACGCGAGATAAAAGAAATACCTTGCCTCCACGTTTCGAACATGCTAAGTCTGATTATAAAAAAAATCACAGAAATGTACTTACGGCTGCCAGTTTCAATGCTGTTGATAATCGTGCACGCATCTTCTGCGAAAAGTCCCATAATTCATTTTCTTGTGATAAAAGCATTAAAGAAAAATTGTGTAAGTTACGTACTGAAAATAGATGCTTTATTTGTTTTCGAAAATATCACATTTGGAAATCGTGTAGAAATAAAACTAACTGCTTAAAATGCATGTTTAAGTCGCATCATGAATCACTATGTACGAGTAGTTCAAATCGTAACAAAGCGCAAACGGCTTCAAATCAAAACATAAAAGAATTGTGCGAAAGCTCGCGAGATAATTCAGTAGATGAAACACAAAACTCCCCAAAAGAACACATGCTTTCTGTTGTTCCTTGTGATAAATCATTGAAGAAAAATGCTTTATTGCAAACCTGTTCAGTGTTAGCTCATTATGATGGAAAGTCAGAGTTAACTAATTTAATTTTCGATTGTGGTGCTACACGAAGTTTTGTTCATATTAGTGTAGTTAAGAAATTAAACTTAAAATTTGGAGAAGAAACATTGTCTATTTATTCTTTCGGAATGAAATACGCAGTACCTAAAACCTATAAGGTTGTCGAATTCTGTGTTTCGGATGCGAAGCAAAAGAACAAAATAAAAATCAGCTGTCTCGTCACTGACGCCATTACGGCTGCGCATACGACCACGCCGTCAAAACAAACACTAAAAAATGATGAATGAGTGCGGATTGCGAATCGCTTGTTTATGTAAAAGAAGCGTTGGAATTCTAATAGGTGTGGATTATTACCGGAAGATGGTAAGGGGGGAAAAGATTCAATTAGGAAAGGAAATTTATGCGATTTCTACTATGTTTGGATGGGTCCCAGTTGGCCTTCAAGATAAAGAGAGCGAAATAGTATCTCAAAACACGGCACTAGTAAACCTTTCTTCTTGCAT